TTGTGTGTTTGGCGTGATTAAGCGAGCGACCAATAAATGTTCTTGTAACACCGACGATGCACTGAAGGCAAGAATTATGGCAGAATTCACACGCCTAAACAAAGAGATCTTTCAGAAGAATTGCAGGAGTTTCCGAAATCGTCTGGAGGATGTGGGTGAAGTCGATGGCAATTTTCCTTGTAAAAATATACTCGTTAGCATTTCAATATATTTCTGTGTAATTTTGGTAACTGTTAAAAAGAGTTTTCAGTGTTATTTTAATTTCTGCCTAATTTAGACAAAAATAAACCCATCCCACTATTGCATATTTTACATGTACTTGCTGAAACGATTATTTTAATATGGATATTTTAAAAGCCTGTTTTGATATTCATTTCCATTGTTATCTTTATTTTAATTATTTAGGATGAGAATACCGTCGCAGATGAAGAGGAGGCATGAAAAAACAAAGTGATGTTGTTCTGCAGCAGCATGCTTAGTATCCCATGGATGGAGCGTGTAAGCAAGAGGTAAGTCTTTTTAAAAAAATGGAAACAAAAAAGGTGTTGTGTCGGAAACCTACCACCCCTCTTGAAGATGAACTTGTCTGCGTCTGTGATCAGAGACTTTAAATAATGAGAAGAGAGATAGACAGAGAAGTTCTTAGCTGAGCTAGTTCTTGACTACTCAGGCGATTTCTGTACTTTTTTACCAATCTATTAAAACCCTTTTTATTGTTACGTGTTATTTGGTGTTTGTCTCTACTAACCCCAAATCAACATCATGACAAAAGAACACTTACATTAAGAGTCAGAAAGGGACACATAACATTTTAAGGACATATAACGAGAAAAAAATCTTGGATAATTTCAAATTCACATGTAATATGGAAGGTAAAAGGACAGGGGTAGAAGGCTACCCACCTGGCGTGTTTATGTGAATGGATGGCAGAACTAAATTGGGAGGGGGTGATAAAAATAAACGTCACGTAGAAGAAGAAGCGAAAAAGCTGGGCGATTTTACATTTAAACTTTGAATTATTCAGGTAATTATTTTTGTTGGGGGGGGGGTACAGTTTAGATTCAATGCAAAGTAGCATTTAGATTATATATTGTAGTTTAGGGAAAATGAAGTATTGTCATATTAGGGCAGGATCTGCCTGACCTCATTTTCCAGTTTCAATAAAGTCCCAAAGCGTCACCGTGTGCTTGAATGTGACAAATTGTTTTTCACTGTCCACCTCCTCTCTCACAGACGGGATATGGCAAACCTGTATTTGCTCTATAGCTACTTCGAGTGTGAACGGAGGATCGGCATTCCTTGGTTCCGCCAGATTTAACTTCCAATGCTAGCACCCGCCATGCCACTGACATTGTAACAAACCCCACCCTAATTACTTCCGTATTCCTTAGGTGGGAAATAAGTTCCACTCGAACTACTTCTTCCCGCGAACTAATGCTCTGTGGAACCGAAACCCAAGAGGATGTTTCCCCGATAACTACAATGTTAACCTGTTCAAATATATGGATAAACGTTATCTTCCCCACCTATACGTATAAACTGCCTCTTACACTGAAAGCCTCTTCATCGAAGGATGAAAAAATATGCATTATACAAGGGCAGGTAAACAGGGTTGCCATTTACTTTTGAAAAAGAAAAAAATCAAATCTAAATTCAACTTTTTTATCTCCCGTTTTGGTTTGGGATGTTTGTTTAAAGACATATCAACTGCTTGTGGGTCATTTAACCTCGATATTTAATTTTCTTGGAATATTTTTTTATTTTATTACAATATAGTGATGGATAATTTTTACTATCAAAATGTATTTTTGGTACTTTTGCTATAAAAAGAATTTTCATAATTTCAGAGGAGCAATCTTGTCTACAGATGGCACCTGGAACTCGGAAATCCGCTCACGGATTGCCGCAGCCATGAAAGCGATCGCCAAATTGACAAGAATATGGAGGAACAAAATCAGCTTTCAAAGTACATGCTGTACAAATCGCTGGTAGTCAACATTCTATTTGGATGTGAAACGTGGACACTGTTGGCAGATACAGAGAGAAGGATCCAAGCTTTGGTGAAGAAACGCGTGAGAAAACTCATTGACATTTTCTATTGGGAATAACAAAAAACAATGAGTTCGTGCAGAAAAAGAGTTGAAAGTTTTGTTGGCCACCAGGAGCCTTTTCTCGCCACAAACGGAGAATAATGGTGTGGTTTGGACACATTACCAGGCACGACAGCCTGTGAGACCATCAAGCAAGTCACCATTAAATATGGACGTAGGATAGGACGCCAACGCAAAAACTGGTTGAAAAATGTCAAACAATGGACAGGTATGACTGTACCAGAATTGTTGATGGCTGCCGTTGATAGAGCATTGTGGAAAGTGTTAGTGTGGCTTCTGCATTCGAATCCGCCCTACAATTACAAGCGTCAATGCAATGCTGCTGCTGCTAATGATGATGATCATGATGATGATTGTTCTCACCCAAATTTGGGGTTCAATATTTGACCATAGCTTGGACTTTAACAAGTGCTACCCCGACTGGTCAGAGTGGACCTGGGAAATAACAGCACTTAAGAGTTTACCAAACCTTTCGAAATTTGATTGAATCATTTCTACTGTATGGATCAAAAACTTGGACATGATCTGTTAGTCTTGAAAGACGACTCGATGGAACATATAAAAATCTAGTTAGCAAAATCCAGAACATCATTTGGAGATACCATACAAGACTTAATACAATTTACTGAGAACTGAGATCAATCTCGCCTAAGCTCAAACAAAACGATTACTGTTTGCTGACCCCTACCATCCAGCAGACAGGGAAATCGTCTCATTCTTTCTCTTATGCCATCCTTCTGGAAGTGTTTTCTCACGAAAATTGACTTTTCCAGATACCATAGCTCGGGACTCAGGGTTGGAGATTGGGGATCTGAGGACAGCAATGCAGGACCGAAGAATGTGGAAAGGGTTTGTCAGTGGAATTCCGACCAACCGTAGGGAGGCCCAAGGATGATGATGAATTCAGAGGTGATTCTACGCTTCTCAAAACCACCCGATCAGAAGCCTCGCTGCCGGATGTAGTTTATTGTCATACCAAGGACGTTATGTGCTGTTTACCTTCAAGATGTAGGCAATCAGAAATCCTTATAATTTCTAGTTTTAAGCAAAGTTTTTCTTGTATTGTCCGCCCATGCTCTTCTGCCATCCATTTCTACAAGTTCTTTATATATGGTATTCCCTATTTTCCTTTTTTCTATTGCCTCCGATTCATCTTGTGAGTGGCCGGTTCTCAAAGCCCTTTTCGTTATTATGTCTCTTAGAAATTTCGATTATCTCTTATTGATTCCATTTAGAAGTGAAGTTGTGTCCCAGTTTTTCTTAAAACTTCCTAGATGACCGTATGCTCCATCAATGTCATTCTTAACATCCATAGAACAACATATCTTTTGCCTCAAGTCTACTCTTTATGTGACGTGGTTGTCCAGCATCAGTTGCACCAACCACGCGTGTGTACGCCACATGCTTTTAGAACTTCACTCACAGTGTGAGATGAACATATACTTTATTTTTTAAAAGCGAGAGCATAGTGATATTTTTTAACATTGAACTCTGTACATCAAACTTTCATTTTATTTTCTATGAGCAAAATCTCATTCTTCTGCTATAATTGACTTATATAAAAGTTATTTCATTGGCGACAAAGAAAAGAGTGATGAAATATTATGCAATACCGGGACTCCTATATTGCAGTGAATGCTGGAGCATCTCATCAGATGCATCAGAGCAAGACTGGCAAATGAAAGCAGTCCACTACCTTTCGGGTTTGAGTAAATGCTTGATTACTATATATAGCATAAAACTAAGGGCTACAAAGGAGAAAATATTGTAGCAAACCATGATCGCCCAATCCAATAAGAGAGAGAGCACTTAAAAGAATTTGAATTTATTTAATATTTACGCCTTAAAAAATGGTGCAATATCTCATTCTTCTGCTATAATTGACTTATATAAAAGTTATTTCATTGGCGACAAAGAAATGAGTGATGAACTATTATGCAATACCGGTACTCCTATATTGCAGTGAATGCTGGAGCATCTCATCACAGATGGAAAAGAAACTTGAAGCTATAGAATTTTGGTTCTACAGGGGGATGCTGAGAATGTCATGGACAACAATGTTTTACTTTAAATGAAACAAAAAAGGAGACTTATACATAGCATCAGAAATGAACACTTGATCTTTTTAGAGCAAATAATGAAGAAGCTAGACTTAGTAAATTATACGCTCACAGGATATATTGAAGACAAGACTGACAAATGAAAGCAGTCCACTACATTTCGAGTTTGAGTAAATGCTTGACAGAGCATATATTAGTATATATAGCTTAAAATTAAGGGCCACAAAGGAGAAAATGTTGTGGCAAACCATTATCCCCTACGCCAATAAGAGACAGAGCACTTAAAAGAATTTGAATTTATTTAATATTTACACCGTAAAAAAATGGTGCAATATTTACAGTTTACAGTGTAGTGCTTCTGAGATGGTTCCAAGCCAAATTTCTTCAAATTTTCGATATTAATTACGATTATCTTCATCAGCGATTATAAAACCATTTTTTTTTATTTAACCAATTTTCTCATATTTTAATCAGACCCGGCTGTTCATCAAGCAAGTGCTTCTGGTCAATTAGTGTACGATCGATCCCAGACTCTATAATCAAATCATAAGAGGTATCATGATCGTATATTCATATTGCAGTCGACTTTTATTGCCAAGTGCTCAATCGCCACTTTCGAATATATTATTGCTATCCCCTTGGTACCCTCTCCGACCACGCAGGTTCGATGTGTGCTTGCAATGAATTATCTTTTCGAATTCTCTGACGGGACAGGCGTACGATTCCCCTGAGCATAGCGATAATTATTTGGATGATGACATATGTTATTCACATTTCTATACGCCATACATATATTTCGTTCCTGGTAATGGAAAAAAATGAAGTTTTGTTAGTGGCAATGAAAAGTTAATATCAAGTAGAAAATCGAGGGAAAAGAAGGAATGACAGAGGAAATAGTGATAGGCGGAGGGAATGAAAGTGGGAGGAACACACGATAGAAGAAATGCAAATAGATGAAAGAAAGGGTGGGGAAGAAAAAGAGAGACTGCAAGAGATTAACAGGAGAAAGAGAGTGGATAGAAGAAAAGAAGATAGAGAGACGCACAGACAGAAGAAAGAGGACCAAAACTGAATAAAGAGAAACTGAAAAGAGAAAAATGAGAGCGATTTATGGATGGGGAAAAAGATGAACCGAAGATAAAGAGAAATACATACAAAAAAAGAGTGACAAAACAGAATAAAGAGAGAAAAACTTGATTGATGTCTGTAGCTGAAAAAGAGGGAACATGCTTTTTTCTCTCATTCTCTTTATTCTATTTTTTCATAGTGACTTCGTTCCTCACTGGGTGCTCCATACTTTTGGTCTTGTGACACATTTAAGATACGACTGGAAAATCAGTATTCTATTTTCTCACTATTTCCTCTCTCTATCAAAGACGAAGGTAGAGAGACGGAAAAATGAGATGAAAGGGTGGCAATATAACGAGGGAGAAGAAGAAGAAGAAGAATAGAGAGACGTGAGAGAGATTGGTAGATAAAAGATAGATAGATCCAATAAAGGAAGATAGATATGTAGAGACAGACGAAATAAGGGCAACAGTGAAGAAAGTAGACATAGACGAATGACTGTGTCAAGAGAAAGAGAGAGAGAGAGAGAGGGAGGGAGAGAGAGAAATAGTAGAATGATAGAGTTAACTGTGAGAGAGTGATAAATCTAAGATACACATATAGAGCAAAAGAAAATACAGATACACCCAGGCAGGATAAATAAACATCGACAAGCGAGAGGGGCCTCTGAAAGAGATTGATAGATGAAAAATATACTATCAGAAAAAAAGAAGATAGACATACAGAGACTATGAACAGTGACACCTATAATAAATAGATAGACAGCTGTTTAGTGGCTAATCGAGAAAAGAGAGATTTATAGTGGATAGTGTAATAGAGATTACACAGCTAAAGCAAAGAACAACGAAAAAGAAGGAGGGAGAAAAATAAAAAGGCATTGAACTGATAAATATTGAAAGATAAAAGAGAAACTAATAAAAGGAAGGGCGATAGTGATAAACTGAAGAAAAGCGACAAAACAGACTGAAACGGCAGATCAAGGAAGATAGATGATAGTAAAACGGAAAAAAGGAAAAAGAAAGAGAGATTCAATAAAAATGGAGAGATAACTACGAGAGGATGATAGATGAAGGAAAGACAGAAAAATGAGAAAGACGCAGAGAAAAAAGAGGCAGACTGATAAGAAAATTCAAAATTCAGATTAAAGAAAAAAAGAAAAAAAAACAACAGGAGAAAAGGAAAAACGATATAAAATAAAGAAAATGCAGCGAGATAATAATCGAAGAAATCTAGGAAACTGTATCTGTGATTTCACTGACGCCTGGATTTTGGCGTATTCCGATATTGTTATGGCTTACATGTGACGCCGATCCAAGGAAGCAATTGCTTCTGTTGTCAATCAGCTACCGTAGTGGTTACATAATGCTATGATCCGCATAAACTCGTCATTGACTGATACCCTCTACTTGGTAATGCTTGCTGACCTTTTGCCTGCAAAATTTAGCTCTATGCATCCCCAAAACGTCAATTTATTCCAGCCGGATAAATCTTCTGGCTGAAGTTGTCGAAAAATCGCTTGAAGATCTGTCTGGAGTCTTTCAACCAATGTTATAGCCATTGTACCAGACAGTAACACATTATAAAAACATTGAACGCATTGTAAACACATTATAAAACATTGTAAACATATTAAACACATTGTAAAAAGGTTTTTCTTTCACGCTATTTCTCTTCAGGACTTAAGCGTTCATGCTTATCCAGTGATTCCTCTTTTTATTATCTGTGAATTGTCATGAGTGTTTGACTTGACAAGGAATCGTTGCCAACCAAGTTTAGAAAACCAAGATAACATTCTATTTAATACTTAGTTGGAGTGAGTGGGATATTAATTCGAAATTAAATGCAACAAGCCTGTGTTGTAGTGTGATCTGTTGGTCATTAACCCAATTTCTGGTTTTAGGGATAATAAAACCGTGCATTTTTTCTCCTTTTGTTGACCATAATTCAAAAATATTTTCAGCTCATATAACTTTATCCTTATGATCCTAAACTGTCTTCAACACATGGATTCCAGTTAATCTATGTAATATTTATAATATGATTAATTTACCTATACAAATTATTAATATCCAAACCACCCGATCATTTAGTATAAATTTAGGAGGTTAATCGTCTCTTCATTACATATCATTATTATTAACTTTAATTTATTAGGCTTAATACATTATGTATTCATTACTAATAGTCCCCTCGTAATAACCTTTCTTCTTGCGCTTCCATTATGACTATACTTAATTATCTCTTCTTATATATAAAAAAATAAGTTCAAATTTTAAGTTGAAGCAGAATATTCAGCGGTAACGAGCAGTTGTAAAGTGAACACTAGAAAAAAATTCAAATTACTATTTTAAAGCTGTCTGGGTTATCGCGTTGATAATCATTGTTTTGCATAGCATATTTAAAGCACCAAACTAAGAATGAACTCCTTTTCACCGACCAATAAAATTAATCGGGTTTGTTCAATTATGAAGACACCCTGAAAATACATTGACATATCTTCACAGCCTGTAAACTAAAATTAGACTTAAAAGTTTCTCTTAATTTTGTTTTCATTTTCGTGCAATCATCCAAAAAGGATTTATTTGCTATTTATGTTTTGTAAAACAAAAAATATATATATATATTTTTGCAAATATTGACTTCGTTACAGACGAAGTGATACAACTGCTGGAAACACCTGCGCTCATAAACACCTGTGTTATAATCACAAAGATATCTCATTATTAGATATTAACCCACTTGATCCATTTGTTTTACGTGGAAAATCCTTGAGAGTCTAATTTTCCGCCGAGTGTATTCAAAATTTAATCACAAATCTTTCATGTTTGGTTCATTTTGGGGATTATTAATTGGTGTTATTAGGCGGTCGATCCAGCCTACCATTCGAGTCATATCATTATTTTTCTATTTCAATCGTTTGTTGGCGTAATGAAAGGAAAATACTGCGCAGAGCCGTCGTCGTCGTCGTCGTCGGTGTCTGTTTCGTCTTAAATGCACACAGCAAATCATTCTTACTGTTCAGGCCCATTTGTGTCTCTTCAACACCCATAGCCAACCTGTTCTTTATACTGCAATCATTCTTAGTAGACTTCAAGCATGTTTTGAGGGATATTAGTATGTTCTAATAAATATTAGTCAATAATATGTTGCGGGAATCAACACTTTGGATATTAAATTTTTACGGCCCTGGAATATTTATCACACAAACAATATTGACAAACTCAAAGTGAGTTCAGGTAAAAAAATGAGTAAGACAAAACAATACATATAAAACTAATGACAATGCATGTATTAACAAGGTGTTTTTATAGGTGTAGACAATTGTAATAATAGGAAAAATATTTTAAATAATTTGCAAGTATGTCCTTGCCGGTTGTGTGTGCGTATGTGCATAAGAGAATACAAAAGTCAAAGGAAGATCAAGAAATCGAACGCGCTTTGTCGGTAGATTTCCTATCTACGTGCGACTACATCTGAAAGCCAGATCTGAAAAAAAAGAGAGAGAGAGAGAGAGAGAGAGAGAGAGAGAGAAAGAAAGAGAGAGCGTGTGTGCGTGTGTGTGTGATAGAGAGAGAGAGAAAAGAGAGAATGCGATTGCCTATTATTCTTTATTCATTTAAAGAGCGCCATCTAGCAGGCGTTTTGGCCAACACAAGTGGTGTAACCTACATATTTGCTCTACTATGGTCACACCCGGTTTTGAATTCCTGTTTTCTTTCTCCTTTCCTGGTTGCCAAGAAGTTACTGCTAGAGATTCCAGTGCCCATACCTGGAGGTAGAGAAGAAAAGGATTTATAAATGAATAATAGATATTTCTAAAGCCCCACATAGGTTTGCAAAAATTTAAAATAAAATTTCCACAATAAGGCGACAACATGGATTTATACATTCATTTCGCCAGGTTTCTAATACAGTGAGTTAGTACTGTACAATCAGATAATTCGCAAACAAGACTGCTCGCCCGTCTTTTTTTGAAAAAGTGTATCCCCCGTGGGATGTGAAGGAGGTGTAATGCTTTGATTTTCGGAACAATAAATCGCCGAGTTTCGAAATTTGGTGGACAATATTCCACTCGTTCTGGTACAAATACTTTGGGAAAGATATATATTCATCCTTTCTCTCTTGGATAAATAGGAGTGTAGTTGTAGCTGGCAACCGTTAGAGAGGAAAGAAAACTGAATTCAAACCTCTGCAAGGGCACGTGCTTGAATTGTAAGGTCCGTTTAGCATAGTTACAGTATGAACCAAGGGGTTTGAGTTTTGACTGATGATGAAAGAAAATTATCTCGATCAGATTGGCATGCTCAGAAACGAATAGCCATACTGAAGAAGAGAAATCACAATGATTTGCATTGTTCATTCAAATCGAAACGACATTGACCATATTTTCTTCATGTATATCACGTTGTTTATTTTTTGTAATTGAGATTATTCTTGTTTATGAGTTCGAATCACGATATAAAAATAACATTTTAACCCCCCCTCCCAAAAAAAAAAGAAGATATTTCCTTCCTTTTTTTGCTTAACAATTTCGCATTTGACTTTACGCCTGGATACCTGTTTCTCTTGTTGTTGTTGTCCTGTTTCGTACACAGATCTGAATATAGAATTATCTTCTAACCTCATACTGAGTTGCTCTTTTGTTATTAAAATCGCCAACATTTTCTTTATACTATCTACATCTATTTTTGATACTTAATATATATAAAAAAAAATGAAAGCATAATTGAATAATAATAATATCAATAGTTCACAAAATCTAAAACTCTTTTTTAAATTCCTATGAGGTGTCTGGACTAATCTGCATTTAATAATACAAGCATTTTGCTCTCTTTTCATAAACTGTTCACGCAGCATAATAGCGCATAATAATCTTGCATTTAAAACGTTTTATAATGAAATAAATTTGATGTAATTTGTAAATTAGTTTTCTTAATTAAGATAAATGGAAATGAACGTTTCCAAATATCATCAAAAATCTGTAGCGGATGATGGGGAAAAATCATTTAAATATTTACATAAGCTCCTTATGTTTCATTACATTTAACTCAGTACGTCATTGTTAGTCAAACAGATCGATCATTATTCACAGAATTCACTCTACAAGGTCCTGCTTCAAAATTATTATCCGAGCATGTACGCTAAGGTGCCGACTTGTCTAATAAAGCTTCCGCTGCAGTTGACGTACTGATACGTCTTTCAGAAAATTACATGGCCTATATATATATATATATATATATATATATATATATATATATATATATATATATATGTAAAGAAGACGTGGAATTTCATTTCATTAGTATTCTATTCAATATAGTGCATATGATAGCGGTGAGTACGGCTTGTTTTGTGTACCTATTTTTTTGTGTTAGGGGCGGCGTTTAACGTTTAATCTTGACTGAATATTATTCAAATGAGATCAAACTGGCGATGTCGCGGAGAAATTGCTGGTAGATTCTAGAAAGTTATATATTTAAAGAAAATAGCATTTTCGTATTTTTCTAAATCGAGCCAGCACAGCCAGAATAAAACGTTATGACAATGCAGCACAGGATGTTTTAAGAAAGTCGAAAGAAGGATAACATTTCTTTCAATAATTTTTCCTACTTTTTATTACTAATTGTCCACCCAATAAAAGGCACAAGATCCAGTCAAGGTATATGTTATCTGATAGAGATTGAGGCACGTGAGGGGACTAGTTTCTGGTTATAAAGGTATGTCGGAAATATAATGTTTAATACTATACTTAAGAAGTTTATGGTGATCGGAAGCGTCCTCTCTGTTCACTAATGTAGCAGTACTTACTTATAGAATTCCGTATCCGGGGCATTCCCGGTAAACATTTTTGCCGTAGGAAAACTCGCCTAAAGAAATTTTCGCCGTAGAAAAATTTGTCGAAAAGGACTTTTGCGTAAGACAATTTCGCCGCATTCTTTTCGATACCCTTATCTTGAACGTCCCTTTTGGAGTAATATGTAATATGCAAAGTACCTTGTTATCGAGTATATATGGATGTATTTTTTACAGGGTAAAATATCAGGAAATAAATTAAAAAGTAAATATTAAAAAGTAAAATAAAAGACTAAAAATATACTATATTAACAGTAAATTAATAATTTAAAATAAAATTTCAAGCAGTGCTTCGTAAATAATGTGTTTTATTGTGTTGGGTTGTAATAAAGCATTTTCCGCTGAAGACTTGCATTGATAGCAATATATATTTTCTTCATTTGAACTGCATCTGTCCATCTAAATCAATATTTTTCTTTTTTACGAATGTCTCTTCTTTTTTTCAAATACGCATTAAGTTTCCACAAATTTGGGTGCATGTTAGTATATCTTCACTTATTAAATTGATTAAATCGAAGTAACAATAATGAGACCCAGATATACTTGATAACAATGCACTTCAAAAATAAAAATTGTCTTACTGCAAAAATCCTATACGGAAAAATTTTCTACGGTGAAAGTTCTTGAGGCGAGTTTTCCTACTGCAAAAAAAAACTTGACAGCAAATTTTACTAGAACCGTAGAATTCGAAGTGAATAGAAATGATTCACTTCAATGCATGTAACATGAAGTGAAGATAATAACTTATTTAATTAAACTCCTGAGAATATTTACGATGGAAACTCTATTAGAGGAGTGAGCGGCTTGCGACGTTTCGTCTATGGGATAGAGGCTGTAGAATGGAAAATAATTTATGACTGCCATTGATGCAAAGACAGCTTTGGTGTCTATCAAGGCTGGAAAGTGAGGACTGAGCAGGTCTAGCCCAGATATAGCAGAGATATTCCATTTTTGTTCTAATCTGTCTCTTGTAATTGTAGCGTATAGAAGGAGGTGTCAACTATTTCCTGGAACCGTAGAAGGAAACGCCCCTTTTTTTCCCTATCATCTTTAGTGATAAATCGTATTTATGAGTTCCACTTAAAGGTCTGGTGTAAACTTAAGTTCCAATAGAATACTAAATAATACATTCATCCATTGTGAAACAAAAAAAATGCATTAGCAGGCTCAAATTCTCGATCAATTCTCTACTGTAGAATGTTTCATCCACACTGTTGAACCACGCGAACTTTTGTAAATGACTGTACAAAATATTGTAAAGAATTTCTAAATAATTATATTCTTTGTGTCTGCATGAGATTTGTCGAGCATAGACCAACATTCCACTTTGAACGATCTCAAAATTATTGTTTTAGCCGAAAGGAGTTATAGAATATGGCGTCATTTTCGATGATTATGTCAAGGGATTTTTCTGCTCTTTAATAATTGGATTACAATACTGTGATTCACAATTGTGCTTCACAAAAATGGCGAGAAACGATTAACAATTTATGATCCAGATTTAATGTAAGAAATGTTTTCAGCTGAGCAAGCCGCATCAAAATTCTTGGCATGCCTGGAAAGCAGTTCTTTTCTTTCAGAGTATCTTTATTTATATATTAAACCTGTCACAGTTTAGCAAACACTCTCGTATATTTGTAACTGCTTTTTTTTAAATATTTAATAGTCTATTTTCCATTGCTTGGCGTTGTAGATATGAAGATGCTCTTCAGCATATAATGAGAAAAGACGGTAAACTGATTTTAACCGTCACAAGACATAATGGATTTTATTGATTATTTTCCTACGGTATACCAACCATTTGCAGGTTATTTAAAGCCAGAATATGTTTGAGTTTCATTTTTTAAACATAAATATATAAGTTTTACAAATTAATCTATAACTGAAGGCAGATGCTGCAGATTCATACCTTTTCTAAAGGTATGTAACGAACCCATCTTGAATAAGAACTCTTTGATTAAAACTTCCGAGCTATTATCAATTACACAATACGCACATCAAAGTTTACAACACCTGTCATTCCCACGCTGTTCCCCATCTAGGTACCGGCCAGGATAAACGCTGCTTACCTTCGGTGATCGTACAAGGACCAGTGTTTTGGCGTGATGTGGGCGTAAGCCTGAATATAGTATAAAACTCAATATAGATTCAAATAAGTAATTTCACAGAATTGAAAGTTTAGTAATTTTAAATTAAATAATTAAGATGTAGTTCTTTATCCATCTTTTTATTTAAAAAAAACATGGCAATGAATTTCCAAGATTTCATGCGACATAAAATGGGGACTGAATAAACAGGTACGATAATAAGATTCAACTTCGTAACTAGTCTATTGAGTACTCTTTCGCACTGTTACCCTTGGGAAAAGCATTGACACGTCTTATCGTCTTCCACATATTGGTGAGCTAGAAGGGTAGACTGGGTTATATAGTTTTGCGTAGTAATCAGGAAAAAGGAAAGTAAAATTCGGAATTCAAACTGGGGAGAATCCAATTGGAATTCGCTTCATTATATTTCCCAAAATGCATATCGGTTCACACATAAGAAATAAACAGGATCAGTGAACTGTCATTATTCCCTACATCATAAAATAGCGACTGATAATCAGACGGCTATTAACAGCTAGTGTATATTTTAAATGAACACTGTGTTTCTAGAACTTCATAATTGAATTAAAATCAATATCATTATTTTATCGACATGGTAATATAGAACTTTTAATGTAAATCAAATATTTTTTTTTATATATTTTTCTGCTACGAAGTATTTGTTTCCTCCCCATTGAATTAGACATAAAATTTAATTAGCTAACATTTCGAGTCGTGTAAATATTGAATTATAAATCGATATTCCACACTAATAATGTTTTTTCTTAAGTTCGATGAGTTTACGATCAAATGAAAAAAAATATACAAAAAAATCATATGTCTGGAATCAAGAAAAAAATCTGTGTTTTCCAAGTGTCTAATATCATCG